CACGGGTGATGCGGCTTAGATGTGGTCACAACTGAAAGAGATTGGTACGAATAAATACGTTAAATGTACGGAATATATCCTTCCAAAGAAATATGTATCAATCACTGTTAGACCATCATTAGAAACCTGTAAGTACTGGACGGCCGCTTCGTTCTGGTATGAGACTCATCAGCAGTGAGCATCCACGACTCCTGCACCTGGCAGGATTCGAATCCAGAACCTTCGGTCTTGCGCGTGAACGCCTAACCTCTGAACCACTTAATCGGTGTCTGACGGTGTTATTGTCTAACTTGATCAATTCACAGTGAAGTTCAACCTGTTCGGGTGTAGACAGTAACTACCGAAAATAGTGTATGAGGTTGCGCAACTCCGTGAATGGATCGAAGTTCGACATTAACGTCGTTAGATACCGGTTAAGTGGTCCAAAGGTAAGGCGTTCACGCGCAAGACCGTAGGTCCTAGGTTCCAATCCTGCGAGTAGCAGGAGTCGTAGATGTGCACTGCTGATGAGCCCCATACTAGGACGAGTTGGCCGTTCAGTGCTTCCAGGTTTTTAATGATGGCCTAACATTGATCGAATCATAGTTTCAAATTGTGTAACTTCACAACCCCGTAATGTAAAGAAATATGTGACATCATATTAATTGACACGGTAAGTTAATAATTTGGAACTTTTTAGGTGCATCTACTATCATTATTTCAAAATTTTGTCATCATCTACTTTTTGTCTGATACATGCAGTAGGGTTCATTTTTTGATTAAAAACCAGAAAGTCAATGAAAACAAGACTGACTACTTAAAAATCTGATTTTCAGATGCATTTAATATACTCAAATGGTAATATTGTCTAATAGTACGACAAGTATCTATGAGTTCAGGAAAGAGTAACAATGTATCTCCAGTGTCTCATGTCAAGTACTTATAAATCGTGAAATGAAACTAAAGAAATTGATGAAGGAGAAGTTAATTCACTAAATTGTTCTCGGAATTCCTCAGAATACCTCTACTGGAAATACTCTAAATGTATTCTGGGTCGATGATGCTCTCTAGAAAGACATATTTTCACAATTAGACTGCTCAGCTGAAAGAACTCAACTTCATCAAACTAATAGCTAAGTTAACTCATTTATTTTAATTTAAAACTTACGGAGGAAGCATTCTTGCGATTAGTAACTCGGTCTTTTTCTTTTCAGTTTCCAATTCTTCTGTACGAACGCGTACTTGATCTTCTAAGTCAGCGGAATATTTTTCCATCATCTTGAACATATGATCTACGATGTTGATTTTTCTAAAACAGACAAATCAATAAAACCTCTTCATATTGATCATATGTATATTAAGTTAATCATTTATCATAATATTTCCAAATGTACATGAGTTTATGAATTAAATTTCTTGCATTTAATGAGTTATTCAGTTTATACTGTAGTATACATAAAAGGTGAGCAGTTGTACAAGTAAACCTACTGAACACACTACCGAAACTCTACAGAAAATTCTAGTGAACTTTCTTATTTCGACAGGTGATACATCGTATCATTGATTGTAAACCATTCTGTGATTCATGTTTATACTCATGTTATTCACGTGTACGTAAAATTTGTCAAGACACAAAGTAATAAAATGCTGAACCTCAGTTTTGATGTCGAAACTTTAGACATTTTGAAATTTTTCTTGACAGTAAAATTCGTAGTTGTTTTTTTAAAGCAATTTCAATTTGTAGTTGGTCGATGAATTAAAAACATCCTAATTTTTAAGAGTAGTATTAATCTGTTTTTTTTTAAAAAAAGAAAATATTTCCAAACGAATTTTAATGTTGACAATCTGATAACTAGTATTTTGTATTTAATGGTAGAAAAATGAATTCAATTTGGTCATTTAAAAAATTCCAGATAACGCAATGCTCTATCATATACCTATATTCTATAGGTTTATCATTTTGAAAACAATACGATTATTAGAGTATGAAGCGAATTGGTAATATTGAAGCATAGAATAGTGAAAAATGCTACAGAATACATTAACGAATGAAAAATCTATTCGATGTGCGGTTTACAACAGTTGATCACATTTAAACAAAGTCAAGTCAACCTAAAAATAGAGATTCCGAAAAGTACATACAACAGTGTTAGTCAGCTTGATGTCTTTCAACTGTGTAAAACCCCTAATATACGTGAGTTATGAAATTGAAACAATGCTTAACAGGATGTTATTATGAGGTCCATAACCAGAAAGTGGAAGATTAACAACAAATACGCAGATATATATTTGTGAAAGTAAATCAGTAAAATCAGTGGAAACAAGTAAATTGTGGTTGCATTGAACTCAAAGTAGGGCCCACCAATTTTCAGTGGCTTCTTCATATTCGACCTAGGGCTCACCATTGTAGTGGCCTGCGATATAACTCCATATTTACGAACAGTTGAATATGCTTTGAGGGAAATCTCTTCCGTTTCCGTATATCGTACTTAGGCAAACCGCGTTTGTGCGACGGCAGTAATTAGAAGCCGAATACGGACTCGGACGGATCAGTTTATTTCAGGCAGTCGTTACTGGATTCATTTAAACAGACAAACATGAAAATAAAAGGCATAAAAGCATGGCGAAACGAAATAGAGCAGACCAGCGAGTTAAATCCCTGCGATAAAGCATGACTCAGTATTTATAGTCAGAGAAAATAAGCCAGACATTAATGAGTAAAGTAAGCGGTGCCCGCATATATTCGAATAGAAACAATCAAGATAAAAGCAAATAGTTGGCAAGGTCAAAAGACGAGGGAGTATTACCTCGACAAGAATGCGTTAGTTAATTTGTCCGAAAGCTTGGAACAAGCCCAGTGGGCTCGACATAAAAGTACACGCACTACAAAATTTTATTTCTACTAAAATAATTCGATTTTAACTAGTTATGATTTTATCTCAATGAAATTCGCGAACTTAATTCGTCTCAAAAATGTGTTTGAATCACGCTTAAGTAAGATGATGTGAGACGGTTAGCAGGAAGTTGTAGAACATAGCTTTATATTAGTTGGCACCCATCTACTTGACATACTTCCAGTTAACATTGATCCAAATAGATTACTGGTCATATTGTGAGCTGGTTGATGAAGTTCCACCATAACTTAAGACTAAAAACCATGACACTTATTACAACTCAGTAACCAGTCGGTATGAAGTGATATGGTGAAATATAGTCACCAAAATAAAATACACGTATGACATAGTTATTTATGGTGTGAAATCCACTTCAGTTTTAAATTTGTTTGACTTTATTCTGAAGAAAGTTATTATCTCATCATACAAATATCTTCATTAGCTGAAGAATAAATAAATAATTCATACAACTATATATATGCGACATTGAAAACACATTCAAAAAAAAATGTTTGGCCACTTTTAGTGCGTAAATTAAATTTATTTTCATTACTGTATACTTAAAGAAATCAATGTTAAATTTTTATGTATAATACTTGTTGATTGTAGACGGTTATTGATACAATAGAAGTTCAAAACAAATTAGTAATTCAGCTTAAATGAGGAATTTTTTTTGCTGAATTGAATTGCGCTCTTGTAATACGAATTATCTTGGAATGACTGATGGTGACTGTATCAACATGATGAAAGAATGTTTATTCTCTTGAGGTTTTTGAATATTAACTTCAAATGTAATGTTTGAGCAAGTTGACATTTTATTACAAAAAATTGATAAACCTATTGAAAAGTGTTTAAAACTTTATATTATTTAATTGTACCCATTAAAAATTACTTGAATAAACAAATAAATTTTCAAAAAAATGAAAAATTCCTTTTTATGTTCAAACAATTTAGTACGTTTTTGATAGAACAGTGAGAAGACGTAATTGGTCTGAAAAACGGGATGTATTTGCGCTAAACATTTCGAACAATCTGGTCATATATATATATATATATATATATATATATATATATATATATATATATATATATATATATATATATATATATAAAGAATGCCTTGAATAGCATGTGTGTGACCAGATTGTTCGAAATGTGTTTAGCGCAAATACATCACATTTTTCAGATCGATTACGTCTTCTCACTGTTCTATCAAAATTTACAAAAAAGGGACTAATTGTTTTAAATTTTACTATGCAATTCAACTTTGTTACTAGACTCATTCATTATAAAAGATAATTAACATATCTTTCTTCATCATTTGAATACCATAATATTTAAAGTCAAAATTATGCGTTACACTTACTTTCCTTGATTAAGTTGTCTCAGTTGTTGATAGATTTCTTCAAATGTTGGTCGCATGACTGGACTTTCTGCCCATGCACGTTTCATAAATTCTAAATAAGCTGGAGGTGCTTCAGACTGTGAAACCTTAATTGCAAAATTAATTTATATATTGAAAATGAAAATGTTTATTATAAAAAAATATATATAAAGTTCAATGTTTATAGAGAATTAGGAATGTATGTGCTGATTTCAGCATTTACAATATCAACCAACTCGTTCTTTCTCCTGAAAGCTTTCAAAATCATGTGTAAATAACACTTTGTTCAAATTAAAACATTAAATAATGATATAATTGAGAAACAGGTTGCATACACCTTGCTTATTAATAAGTAAAAGGCGAACTCTTAGCTTATTTCCTTAAAAGTGTTGCAAAATAACGAGTGTACATGTAAGTGAATACAATCAAGACTAGCTATGATGCTGACCTTTTTATTCTGGAGAACCGCCTACAGATTGATATGATCTTATACATGAGATGAAAATAAAATAATATTCGAAGATTTATTTTCATGCCCGAAATCAATCAAAACTAACTTTTAGTCCACTGATTTTCATATATTTTACTTTATTTTTATTGAATGAAGTTCAGCTGAGTAGCATTTATCATTAAATGATCAATAATTCGTGGCAGGGATACAATTTTTAAACATTGTAACAAAAAAATATTGCAACTATTGATTCATGGAAATAATTAAAAAAATGTAATAATTCAATACTTACTTTAGGTCGACACAATGGTGGTGGTTTTCGAACTTTACTTAATATTTCTGATGCAGTTAATCCAAGCATTCCATAAGGTTCATCACGTGTAATAATTTCTTGCATTACAATTGAAAATGAATAAACATCACCTTTCGGACTGCCAATATAAATATTTGTTTCTTCTCGTAAATGTTCTGGTGCCGTCCATAACCATTCTTTATTATGATTATTATTATTATTCATTTGAAGATAAAAGTGAAGGATGTACATTAAAATTAAATCACAAGCAATTTCAAAAAGAATCTGACGATTCTTGAAGAGGATTGTACACAATAGATAAGTGATCAAAATTGGACATGAACACTGTCGGATACCGGATCTGTGGTCAAGAAGTTTAGCGTTCACCCAAGAGATTGAAAGTTCTGGATTCGATCTGCAGATTCTGGACACGCACTGCTGAGGAATCCCGTATTACAGTGAAATGGCAGTTTTGAGCTTTCAGGTTTTCAATGGCAGCCAAGTGAAAGTTTGTTAGTGGTTTGACCATGGGAAGTCTGCAGTTTATTAGCCTAGAGCTCAGTTTTAAATTTTGCCGATAACTGACTTATCAATAGCAGTCTAACGTATGATTTTAAACTGAAATGAACTGGTCTAAGTTCGCAGTATGAAAAAGAATATTTTGAAGACTAGTTCTGAATGTACTAAACAATAGTTGAGAGAATGATGAATTAACTCGGAAAACGTGTATATGCAGTTAAAGAAGTTTGACAGTCGTAGAGAGGTTTGGTTGCTATAGAAACTATTTTCACAATGAAAACTTGCAGAATCTCAACTGGTTTATCAATGGACAACTTAAAATAGTGATATCACAATGTTCAATCAAAATATTAGCCAACTAATCATATTGAAGTATAGTCATCTTTCAAGAAGTACCATTTTAGTATCATTGATGGAACTGAATACTTCTTGTACTTGAACTGAACATTAACTATTCTAACCTCCAACAGTAAATGTTAATGAATAGATAACTGAACATAGCACAAATATTCATATCACACGCAAATAAACAACTAGTCAAGTTCAACTGAATCAGCAACTCAGTACCTACTGACTATCATTCGTTAAGTTTGTTTTATACCTAGCTTTCAATCTAAAGGTCAGCAACTAGCCACCGTGATAGATACATTTCAAACAGACGTTATTTATATACAACCATATGAGGTCACACTATATATTTCAAACTGACGATTTATTTTCTCCAGATGAAGCAGAAAAAAGTTTCTACCAACGACCAATATTCCTAGCCTCATAAGAGCAGATAAATTAGTATAAAGACATAGGATAGGTCAAACTTACTAACTTATCCTTGTCATGGGGCAATATAAGATGATGATGGTAGTTTATGCAGAATTGTGATGCGTAAACTAATTTGTAATCGATCTCTCCAGGTACTAACCTTACATGAATATTTTCCTTACATTGAAGGTATACAAACAGTGCTTTCTTACTAAAAGTAGGTTCAGCTTCAGAAAGCTACTTCCGTTAACATGGACGTATGGATGAATGAGATTGTATTTCTCTGTTTTTGCAACCCAACTCTAAAATGTGTTTCATTTTCACAAAAAAATTAGTCGTAGTTATTTGCTAAGTGAATAGAACTTTCCGATATAATTTAATAGAAAATTCATTGTACAAGAATATAATTAACTGTCAATTATTGTTATTAGTATTCAAAACTGATAATTATTATTTTTCTAAACGTATATTCACTCATATGATCAGTGGTTTCAATCTGTGAATGATAATCATTTTAGATCAGTTTGATTACCTTATGGATTTTAATAATTTTGACAGATCATTTGTTTCTTTAAATGATACAAATCATATAATTAAACAGATTATTAAAGATTTTTAAGTCTATAAAAACAATCAAACTAATGTGTTGTAATGTTAGTTATATGGTCATCAATTAGAAAGAAATATAAAAAGAATTCTAGTAAACTTCACAGTCATACCTTCATCTTTCAGTTTTCTAGCAGTACCATATATACTGAATATTTCCGGTAATCCATAATCGGTTATTTTTACAACCCATCGACCATCAACACAACAATTGGTTGATTTAAGCCAACCATGCTTTTTAATTGGACTTGAGTGTATATATCTCATACCCTTTTGAATAAATAAATAAGAAAAAAGACTTATTGTGTGATGATGATTGTACCAGTGTATCTACTTTTAAACTATACAATCCATGTACTTTAAACGACAATTCCAATGCTTTCAAGTACTATTTAGTTGTATGGTAAATATGTAATTACTTTGAAAAATGTTTTTTTTCTTTAAGATTAATCAATCAGACATTTATGTCCAGATTGAAAATAAAAAAAAATGACAAACGAGTTATTAAACCTAACAGTTTAAAAAAAAGAATTCATTAACTGATAATTGTAACTAGATTGGTGTTTGACAATATGATTGGAGGATTTTATCCTTGATACATTGGTTTTAAATGTTATTATTGATTATGTACGATTCTTTGATGCATGAATATAGAGAAAAGCATGTTAAAATATTCAAATTTAATCAATCATATGACTGAATCAAGAATTTTCACTTATTGTACCGTAATACAATGTTCAATCAATACATTTTAATACTCGAATAATATATTTCAAAATTTAGTTAATCGGAAATAAAGTATGACTACACGTTGGTAT